AATATACAGATAGAAAATTGAGAGAATTGTATTCGATATACCCATGATTTGTTAAAGGGTTGCAATAACTTAACGTTAAAATACTTTCCCATTTATAATAATTAAACAAATAAATAACAAAATTTGTTTATAAATCAGCTAGAACTAAGGATTCTTTATTAAAAAATAAATAATGATAATATACAGATAGAAAATTGAAAGAACTGTATTCGATGTATCCATGATTTGTTAAAGAATTGCAATAACTTAACGTTAAAGTATCTTCCCATTTAATAATTAAACAAATAAATAACAAAAATTGTTATTTCCATAAATCAGCTAGTACAAAGGATTCCTTGTTTAAAGAATAAATAATAGATAATATACAGATAGAAAATTGAGAGAATTGTATTCGATGTATCCTTGATTTGTTAAAGGATTGCACGAACTTAACGTTAAAAAGTAACTTTCTATTTATAATAATTAAACAAATAAATAACAAACTTTGTTATTTCCATTATTAGCTAGAACTAAGGATCCCTTGTTAAAAGAATAGATAATAATATACAAATAGAAAATTGAGAGAATTGTATTCGATGTATCCATGATTTGTTAAAGGATTGTAATAACTCAACAGTGGAAGGGAGTTAGGGACTGGGTGGGGGGGCTGAGAGGGGGTTTAAGGAAGATTGTCGTAGAATCATCATCCTCTGTTCGTTTGAACCATTTTCCAAGCTCGAAAGCTAGCTTAACGAAAGCAAGTACTTCCATTCCAAGGAGTGGAGGTGCGGGGGGACATAACGTTTCCGAATTAGTAGCCCTCAATAACATTTACGTCGTTGGAACGTTGAAAGCCCGTCAGAGCGACGTCTCTATTATCCTTTCGTCCTAGGATGAGCCACGCCATTAGTCTGGTCCTGTGCATCTACGGATAAACTCTACGATCGATTCGTCGAGGGGGTGACAGGGGGAAGATAGAGGGGTAGGGGGACGAAACGAATTGATGAAAGCTTTTCCCTCTTTTATTACTTTCTTCTTCTTCTTCTTCTTATGTTTCTTCTTCTTCTTGTTCTTCTTCTTATTCTTTTTCATCATGATCATGATCATCATCAACATCATCTTCACCTTTAAGATCATCGTGGGTATTACATTATTTCCCATTCTCTTAATCTTTCTTTTTAATACGACTCGTTGTAATTTTTGGTCTCATAATAAATGAGGAGGACGAAGAAGAAGAAGAAGAAGAAGAAAGAAAGAAAAAAAAAAGAAAATACATACACACTAATAAATACATATTATACACACACACTTACAAGGAAAAAAAGTAAAGAGGGTGAGAGAGGAGTGGTGGGGGGGGGAAATCGTTACTTCCGTTAGTCGTTATGTTCGCGAGACGTTCAAGAAAAAGAATCCCACCACAAATGTTCGTCACATGTATAAAAAGGGGTTGGGGCAAGGGGGGTGGGGTGGGGTGTTCAAACGGGAAAGAAAGAGACAAAAGAAAATGAAGAAAAAGAGAAAAAGAAGAAAAAAATAAGGACAGAAAGATGACTGATTCATCGTGTTACGAAGAAACTTTGTAACAATTGTCTAAAATGCTCGTAATTACGGAGTTGGAAGAAGAGGCAGGCGCATCTCATTCGCTTACTCGCGCGAGCGCAACCGACAAACTTACAAAGAACTCCCGGAGACTTTATCGAGGTTTAAAATGTGAATCTTTCTCTCTTTACAATCGGTAGTCCAAGAATTTTCTCTTTGTTCGTGGATAGTTTCACTCTTTTTCCCTTTCTCTCTCTCTCTCTCTCTCTCTCTCTCTCTCTCTCTTGCTCTCTTCGGGAGAAAATCGTGAATAAAAGAAGAAAGAAAAAAATAAGTACGCAAATTGTTGAAAATTGTTAAACGTTTAACGACATCTTTTCTTGTGTGTATATGCTTATTTTTTTCTTTTTTGTTAGCATACAATAATTTTCCTAACATTACAATATTTTGTCCTTGGACTTCAACGAGTAAACGATATTTACGCTCCCCCCACCCAACGATTTGTACTTTATACTTATGTTTAAATATAATTATCTTATCGCGTTAACACATTGGGTCAAACGCTAACTCGCCGATTAGGCGAGTTATAGTAAAACAAACAGTTCAATCGCAAGCCTTGTTATTTATCTGTTAAACTGTGTAGCCAAATTGAAGCAAGACGTATAATTATTATGACATGTATTTTACATATATTATATTTCAGGGCTACAAAAGGAATTGTTAAATAATAAACAACGTTTCGGGACAAATAATATTATTAAAACGATGCGAAATAACTTCAATCGTTGATTCAATTAATAATAATACGCGATATTTTATAAATAAATTTCTCGCCACGTGAGAGACTCGTGATTTACTTTTATGGAAACCAATTCTTTTCCACGAGTCAGACTCGTGAGTTCCGTTTATGAAAACCAATTCTTTTTCACGAGTCATACTTGTGAGTTTCGTTTATGGATACAAATTCTTTAGCCACGAGTCTCACTCGTTGTCATATGCCAAGGGGTTAAATATAAAATTGATCGTATATATCTGATAATAATCATCAAAGAAAAGATAAGAATAAGTTTGAGCAAAAAAGTGAACGCAATGGCTTGCTTATCAATTACGAACAACAACAACAACAACAACGTGTTTCGGATTCGTGAAAGGTAGGAGAACGAAAATTCGTTTAGAAATTCCACGACACAAGGGTCTCCCCTATATATATATATATATATATACATACATACATAATCTTACGATCTGAAACGCGTCGTGCGATAAAATCGTGTTTCCTTCGATCGAGGGTTGAGAACTAGGGGTGGAAGGGTGGCAGGGTAGTCGGAGAAGGGTTCGCTTAAAGGTTCGAGCCAGCACGGAAGAAACGTCGATATCTCGGTAAGATAAGGAAACAAGTAAGGATATTAAGCCGCGAACTGGCACGATTCAATCTAAAACGCATTGAGAAAAGGAACTTAATCGAGTTTGGGGGCAGAGGAAGAGAAGGGGGGGGACACAAGTTCAACATTGTTACACTGTTTTGTTAAAAGTTACTTTTTGCTTATTGCTATTTGATTATCTACTATGTACATACCTATTTCTATTCTTTCTTTTTTTTCTTTTTTTCTCTCTCTCTCTCTCTATCTCTCTCTCTCTCTCTCTCTCTCTCTATATGTATATACCTAAATCCATCTCACTCGCACGCGTTTGTTGAATTGCGTTATAAATTTCATATCGGCAGATATAAAAGCCTGACAGGATCGATCGGAAGCAGCGTGAATTTCGTTTCTAGTTGGTAGTATTGGATTTGTTGCAGGTTTGCCGTACTCCACTCTCTCTCTCTCTCTCTCTCTTTCTCTCTCTACGGGGTTATATGTCCTCGTCTAGAGTACGTCATCGATCGATTTAATGCGTTTCCGTCCGGAATTATTTCGGAAATATCAAACGCAACCGGCGGTTGTCCGGGATACAAGGAACGAATGAAATATACCATCGTCTATGGGATTGAACCATTTACCTTAGAGAATAGGATAGGATAGGATAGGATAGGACGAGACAGGACAAGGGAGGATTGCTTTCAAAGAAGAAGAAGAAGAAGAAGAAACACGAAAAGAACAGGCTCGAAAAAGGGGGAATCGTTAACGACGCTAGTAAAGAAACTACTACAGGGTGAAAAAGGGGTGGGGGGGGTTAGGTGAGGGTAAAAGTCGATCTTCTTTACCGACTTTAATAATTGTATCATTAATTATACCTTTCGATCTTTACTTGGATCTCGTCAAATATTCATGACTCGCAATTTTCTCTATACGGAGAAAGAAAATTAGAGAAAGATAGAGAGAGAAAGAGAAAGGAGACATTAATTAAACGATTATCGAAAGTTAATTCGAGAAAATTAGTTTTTTACGTGTGAGGAATTATATATATATATATATATATATATCCTTTTTTTGGAATGAAATATAAAAAAGGGATACACGTTGTTTGCTCGTTGTACTTGTATTTTATTTTGAAAAGTGAATAAGAAAGAAAATGAAAAAAAGAAAAAAAAAAACAAAAGAAAAGAAAGAAAATAAGAAAAATTAACAGCCGATAGTTTTCAATTAACCGTCGATCAGGAGACGGGGTGGGCAGATGGGGGGAGGACCGGGACGTTGCATAAATTTCTAAAGACATTTTCGATCTTACATGGAACACGTTCTTCGAGATTTCTGGTTTTTTTTCTTTGTTTTTCTTTTTTTTTGGAAAAAAATCGATATTATCGATCAGGTGGGACAATTAACTCGATGTTAAACCAATTAATTAACCACAGACCGAAGCCATACTCGAACCAAAAGGTACCGGGATCTCTCTCTCACTCTCTCAGTCGAGAAACGTGGCAAAAAGCAAAACGAAAGGAATGTACTTACTTAGTAAAAGGGGGTACTACCCTCTACTGCTAACTGACTATTAAACCCTCCCCTCTTTCGAAAAAAAGAAAAGAAAAGAAAAGAAACGAAGGGTGGAGGGGGGGGGGAGGAGGAAAATTTTTCTTGGAAAAATCACGGTGCACTGTGAGTGATGCACTAAAAAAAAAAGTGTAAAGAGAGAAGAAATGGAAAGAGAAAAAGGAAAAAATGCATGCAAGAAAGAAAGAAAGAAAGAAAGAGGGTAGCAATTCGCTTGCTCGTAGAAGAAGAAGAAGAAGAAGTAGAATAAGGCAAACGCTTGCGAGCCGATGCAACCAACCAACCAACCCCTTGTGCGTTTCCTACCCTTCAAGCGGCGAGCACCACCTATCCGAGTACATAGTAGTCATAGTAGTAATAGTAGAGTATAAGGATGAAGAGGAAGAGGAAGAGAAATGGAAGGAAAGGGAAGGGAAAGGGAAGGGAAAGAGGAGAAGAGTAAGGAAGGGGACGATGGTAAAGGGAGGAGAAGAAAGGTTCGCAATAGAGAAACTGTGTGTAGATGCGCAAGCGCGTGTATGTTAATACTCTGTGCGCGAGCGCATTGGCGGCTCTCGGCTCAGTTCGGTTCGGCTCGACGTCGTTTTGCGAGAAAATTGATTCTGCGCGAAAGAGGAATACCCAGTGAGAGAGAAAGGGAAACGAGCCACCAACGAACCGGGGGTCTTCGCACGCTGACACAGAGACAAACTCCGGAGCACGAAAGGACGACACTCTTTCGAGGACGATCGACGATCTCGCATCCGACGTATTTTTATTCTTCCTTACTTATATTTCCCTCCTAACCAACACGTTCAACTAAATCCTACGAAAGATCTCTTTCTATACATATATATATACATATATATATATATTTATTATACGTATAACTATAGTAACGTTATATATATTCTCTCTCTCTCAACCTTTCACTCATTCACTCATACACCGAACCAATCACATTCATGTGACTCGATCGCTATTATGTAAGAAAGGGGGATGTTACCCTTTCTTTTAACGTCAACCATTCGAATCGTCGTGTGTTTTTGAGTTCGCGACTATAATCAAAATCATCAAACGAGACGAGACGGACACGAGACGAGACGAGACGAGACAAGTCAAACGAAGTTACTTCAAATCTTCTTCGTATTATTCGACTTAGAGTGTGTCAAGAAGAAGAAGAAGAAGAAGAAGAAAAAGAAGAAGAAGATCCATTTGAAATAAAGGAAGCCTGAGGAAGATCTTATTTAGGAGAGTCTCTTTACCTTCTTCTCTTTCTATATATATATATATATATCTTTATCTCTCTCTCTCTCTTCTCTCTATTCTCACTAACACACGCACACAAATATACGTACATACACACCTAATACTCTCTCATTCGTTATCTACGCGACGATATGCGAAAAGACGAGTTCGACGCGAGACGAGAGCAACGACGACGATCGAGCAGATACCGTGAATAAAATAATTCATTAATTAATTAACGTGTGAATGCGTTTCGCGCCGGGGGGGGGTCTGTGCGAATTATTGGGCCCGAGGATATTCCTCCTCCTTCGATGGATCGAAAAATTCTTATCCTCGCTCATATCCTGGGTGAGTAATGAACAACAAATTTATTCTTATTATTAGAGTATACTTATATTTGATATTTCTCTTTATGTTTCCTCCTCCTCCTCATCCTCCTCTTCCTCTTCCTCTTCTTTAACCTCTTTATTTATACCCCATATTCGTTCTCATCGATATATTATATCTAATTCCTATTTCTTACGTTAGATTTATCTATTTTCCTTCGATTTTTGATTGTCTCTCTTTCTCTCACACAGCATCCCCCTGTCCCACTTCTGTCTGTCTCTCTCTTTCTTTCCTTGTTTTCTCCCTCCGGGCCATTGCCCCTGTATCCTGTATGGATTAGCCGAGTTCCTTGCACTCGTTTCGTTCCTTGCTTCATGCTTTTTAAACACATTGATATATATATATAAATTTTCATTATTTTAATCATCATCTCATGTATTCTTATTCTTATTATTATTCTTATTCTTATTTTCTCCTTTTGTTTCTATCTCCTTTTGTAAATCTTTTTCTATTCTATCTGTCGCGTATATTTCTTTCTCTTATTCTTTCTCCTTTTTTTCCTTATTACACCYCCCCCCCCCCACCCCATCACCCTTCTCCTATCAGTCTCTGTCTCTGTCTCTTTCTCTTTCTGTATTTAACTCACAGTTGGCAAGGATTTTTCTTAAGAGAATTTATCTTCTCCTTTGGATAATGTTCTCTTGCTAAGGATGAGCCAGATAGAGGAAAGGAGGTGAACGATCCTTTTATTAGCATTCGTCTAGGATCGTGCCAAGATTCGTGAAAAACTAGTGTGTTCGCCTTTCGCTACGAGGATCGATCATGCCAAATTTTTACTCGGTGTGTTTCACGTTATCGTGCGTTTAATATATATATATAATATTTAATATATATAATATAATATTTTGTTGTAATGCATTATCATTTATCTTATGATAATTTAAACGTACGATATATTATTAAATAAGTATCGTAGGGAATTTGGACATTAAAAAGAACTAGAACTTCGTTTTGATTAATTGAACGTTTCGTCCTTTTATTGGGACTTCTTCAGCAACTTAATCTCTAAAGTTCAGCGTCTTGTTTATTTAAACAGACATACATTCTTGTAATATTGAAAAAACTACACATCTAAACTTCTTTATCTCTTCTAACACTCAAACAAAACTGATATATTTAAAACGATATATTTATTTATTTTATTAGACATTTTATTTCTATCAGATTTTTCGAAAATCCATATCGAATGAGATATTATACCTAAATTGAAAACAAAAGCAAAGAAAAAAAACGTACGATCACTTGAGTAAGTGAGTGAGAAAAAGAGAAAGAGGTAAATTCTAGAACCGTTCCACGTGGCACTCATTAAGTACTTCTTATACAACGAGGCAGATACCCGTGTACTATATTAAATATAGTTATCTCGATCATAATAACATAATAACCATTAACTATCATCATTTTCTATTAAACTCGTAATTACAAGTTTTACCCGTTTTTTTTTTCTTTTTTTTTTTTTTTTTTTTAATCGATAATATACATTCGAGCTTATATTCCCAATTTATCGATCATCATTTTTTTTAATTAAATAATTCGTTATTCGTTATAAAGTTGTTATTAAAAATTGTTCCTTTTTTTTTTCTTTATACGAAATTTTTATTACGTAATTTTACTAAACTATATAATAATAATTTTTGTTCTCTCTATAACTTAACTTACCCTTATACACATATACGCGTATACACACACACACACACATATATATATTTTACCTCACGTATAGGATTAATGTATATTAGTTAGGAACGCGCAGGACGTTTCCGTCCAACGATAAGAGAAACCAAACGAACAATCGTTATCGTTACGTTGGAATAATCAGCAAAGAGGGAGAGAAAGAGAGAGAGAGAGAGAGAGAGAGAGAGAATCCTTGGGTTTCCCGCATCCGGGACAGCTTTGTAACCGGACGATTCTACTCGTTCTACTCATTCGTACGTTCGTTCTACTCGTTCGTTATACTATTCGATATATTATTATTAGCACATTTTATTGTTGTTCGATTTCTTTATTCAACCGTTGAAAAAAATAACACACACACACACTTTTCCTCTACCATTTTCTCTCTTTTTTTTTTTTTTCTTCTTTCCTTTAACCTTATTCTTTCATTATAAATATTCATGAGACACATCCCTTATCTTAGAAACGTTCGTCCTTAGGGAGGGTATGGGAGGGAGTTGTGGAAAAGGGGGTTGGGGGGGGGGAGGATCGAGGGAGGATGCAGAAACGAGAAGGAAGGAAGGAAAGAAAGAAAGGGAGAAAACATTCGTCAACAAAGACGTCGAACTCGATCACGGATATCGGTTATCTTATCTATCTGTCCTTTTCATTTCTTTTCTTCTTTTCATCTTTTATTTCTTTCTTCCTATCTTACATTCTTTCTTTCTTTCTATCTTTTTTCTCTCTATCTCTTGTGTATTTCATTGAGCGAACTCGAGAACGTTCGGGGTGGTGTGGGGGTGAGGAAGAAGGGTGAGGAGGAGGGTAGGAGAGGGGGAGGGTGTGTGTAAGATAGAAGAAGGATTCTCAGCTTTGGTTTTAAGACGGACAAACAGAGCTTTCGGTCTCGGCTTACCGACCGCGGGGATTTATTTTCTAGACTGGGGTCTTTTCTGTAAGCGTACTTACTTCCTTCGAATAAAAAAAAAAAGAAAAAATAGAATAAAAAAAAAAAGAAAAAGAGAAAGAATCAAGCAAAAGATAAAGATAAAGAGAAAGAGGGAAAGAAAAAGAAAAAGAGACAGAGACTATTGGGGATGAAAGAAATAAATAGTACGAGGAAAGCTTCGTTAGTAGCTTTGATCGTATCGTATCGTCAATAACGCTAGATATTTTTTTTGTATTTTTATTTTTATTTATATATATGTGTGTATGAAAACTTATTATAATCTCGTTTGTTAACGATCCTACTTCCCTTTCTAAACATGACCGTTAAAAAGGGATCTTCTTATTTTATCTTTTCTCTTATTTTCTTTATTTCTCTGTCTTTATTTTCTCCGGTTTTTTTTTTTTTTTTTTTTTTTACATTTCACGAACAGTACTTTTCTCTTTCTCTGAATAATACAAATATATACGTCGAGTACGTAAAAATGGGAAAAAATTCTCGGTAAAGTAAAAATATGAGTTTATATAACGTCTTATACTGTTAGTGATTTATCTAATCTTTTATAATCCTTTGCACACTATATATA